CGCGGTAAGCGATTTCTTTGCAAATTATAAAGGAAATGATGTCTATGAACTCCGCTGGCCTGATCGAACTGCAATGTACTGAATGTTTTAATTTGGAAAAGTTAATTAATGATAGAAGATCTTGAAACGAACGAGAGTTTGAGTGGTGTTAATTCCTATAGGCATTTATACTTCTTGACAATATAGACACTTGGTAGGCTTTGAAATTTAAATTTCGTTAGTAAACCGATATTATTCGAAATGTTTTAATATTCTGTCAATAGCTTGTTTGAGTCAAGATGAAAACCTTCGAAAATAACTCATGATATTGAGGAATCTGAGATAGGAACACATTTTTTCGAATTCAGCAACTCGTACAGAAACTATCTGTCTTTTATTCTCGCCATGTACCTATCACATGATCTTCCCATTTGGAATAATAAAACTGAAATTGTTCCTCTTATACGATGATCCACAGGGCTATCAGTCTATTCTTTCATAATTATTTCACTTAGTAGGCAGTGTACCTACACAAAATGTTTTATGTGTTTGACAGTTAATCGATTGCATCGATAATTTTTTTTCTTCATTTGTGTGTTGATTAAAATTGCATATTAACAACATATCGACTTTTTCGTTTCTTGAATACATTTTCCGTCTCTATTGATAATATGCAATTTTAATCAACACACAAATGAAGAAGAAAAATTATCGATGAAATCGATTAACAACTGTCAAACACATTAAACTTTTTTTGTAGGTACACCGCCTACTAAGTGGAATAATTATGAAAGAACAGACTGATAGCCCTGTGGATCATCGTATAAGAGGAACAATTTCAGTTTTATTATTCCAAATGGGAAGATCATGTGATAGGTACATGGCGAGAATAAAAGACAGATAGTTTCTGTACGAGTTGCTGAATTCGAAAAAATGTGTTCCTATCTCAGATTCCTCAATATCATGAGTTATTTTCGAAGGTTTTCATCTTGACTCAAACAAGCTATTGACAACCTGCAGACATTGATCAGAATATCAAAACATTTTGAATAATATCGGTTTACTAATGATATTTAGATTTCAAAGCCTACCAAGTGCCCATATATCATCGAATTCATGTCACAGCCAACTTATTCTTTTTGAATAAAAAGCAATTCAACGGCGAATTAAGAAATGAATGCTACTTTGTGATACATGGTTGGATAGAGAATTTCAAGGCGAAAAAGATAGACTGAAGAAATGTACAGGGTGACATATGAAAAAAAAAAGTTGGGGTCACTTCCGGTCAAACAGGTGGTTGAAAAAAATTGCCGTCAAGTTCGTAAAGTGCGCTACCATTTATTATATACCCCCTGTGAATTTCAAAATTTTATCTCTTCAAATAAAAAAACCACAGGCTGCTACATGTCTCCTGTGTCACCCGGTATAGGTACACTGTTGATGGATTTTGTTGTGTCATTTCCGAAAAATAAGCCAATAACACCGTCTCCGAGAAAAAACTACAATTCTTTTTTATCTTGCATTCCACTTCAAGGTTTCGTAAATTACTAATGAACAACCACAAAGTTCTCAATATCAGAATTAAATTGACAGATATTTGACTACTTTGAAAGGTTTCTATAGCAACAAAGATGCCTGCAAAAGGATGCCTGCAATGCAGGTGTAATTGTCGCAGCCTTCCAGTTAAAAGCTTCAAATTCCACATTGATAATTTTCGGATTTTAATTCAATGTAGTATCTTCTCATTATGGAATCCTCCTTTTTCCTGTTACAGAAAAAATATATACAGTGTGACCCATTTAAGATGGAAGCACCCTTATAAAACTTACATTTTTCAACCGATTGGAATGATTTTTTTTTGTTAGGTAGATATTCAAAAAGTCTATTAGGACACCAAATATCATGAATAAATCTCCATTTCCAGGGCCAACTAATCTGATTTTTCAAGGTCAAAAATCTAAAAAAATTACTAGCGATTTTTTTAGAAAAAAATCTGACTACACCACTGGATTTGTGACATTTTCGAATAAGTAACATGTAAATCACGTTGAAATGCGTCAATCAATAAAAAAGTTATAAAGGAATGAAATTTGAAAAATATGCCGTTTAATCAACCCATCAATTTTTATTACTGAACAGATTTCGATGAAACTGTGATCAGTAATATTTCAAGACATCCTGAATCCAGTGGAGTATACAGAATTTTCATAAAATTCCTGAACATGAATTGGTGGGTTGATTAAACGGCATATTTTTCAAATTTCATTCCTTTATAACTTTTTTATTGATTGACGCATTTCAACGTAATTTACATGTTACCCATTTGAAAACGTCACAAATCCAGTGGTGTAGTCAGATTTTTTCTAAAAAAATCGCTAGTAATTTTTTTAGATTTTTGACCTTGAAAAATCAGATTAGTTGGCCCTGGAAATGGAGATTTATTCATGATATTTGGTGTCCTAATAGACTTTTTGAATATCTACCTAACAAAAAAAAATCATTCCAATCGGTTGAAAAATGTAAGTTTTATAAGGGTGCTTCCATCTTAAATGGGTCACACTGTATATTATCCTCGGTTTTTTATCACAACACAATCGATTCCCTTGTATAATAAATAACTATATTTTTGTATTGACGAGGAGAGACAATTCCAACAATCTAAACAAAAGAAGAATATACAGGGTGACATAGAAAAAAGAACATTGCATAATGCCACACAATAGAGGACACTAAAATTGAGCCAAAAAGTTCCTATGTACACGGGTCCGCAAGGCCTTCGGTTGAAATATACGATGTGTTGAACTTTATTTTTTTTATTCATTTGCAAAAACAATGACGAATACTTACATTGAATAACACCTGTATACCACATTTCACCCATTTCTTGCGTCTCTGGCTGAAGATATTCGAAAAAACCAACAAAACCATGTTTTCCTTATCTTAGTGTCGTCTATTGGGTGGCACTATGCAATGTACTTTTTTTCTATGTCACCCTGTATATGTTGGATACACAAAAAATACGAGGAAATGAAATTGTTCATTCTTTCAATTTGAATGCCATTCACGTCAGTGACCATTTTTGTCTACTGACGTTCCGAATTAGTGAATTGTCGTTGTCATCCAGGTGTTGAATGAGAAATGTTCACACACTCATTGTGTGAATGTTAGATTTTCACGACCCCAGTCAGTAAAATAAAAAAAGACAGATATCCTCTTATTCTCAATACACTGATCTTTCTATTAGATCTACAGTTGACCAATTTTTTGAATATAAAAAATGTCAAGTTAAAGCAAATGAACAAAATTGATCTTTAGCGGGGTAGAAAAGGTCATGTAGGGGCTGACAGAGTGAGCCAAAATAAAATTAGTACTTTATATTAAAAAACGCACGAGATTTTGAAAATATGAATTGGTGGGTTTTTGGGGATGATGATTATGAATCTGATGAAAAAAGTTATTTAAAATGAGTCCTAATATCCTTTTCGCAAATAAATGCCTTTTTTGTACCCCTCAACATCGAACGCCAATGGTGAATGAAACTGTTCATTCTGCTAATTACTTCATTATTCTGACATGCAATCACTATAACAATTTCACACACTGTATATATACAGGGTGGCATTGAAATAAGTGCAAATATTTCAAACACTGAGATAGGTCGACGTGTACTATCGAATGGCACTAATAAAAAAGAATTAGGGATCAAAATGAAATTTGAGGTTAGATCCCTTTTTCCACCCAAAGTTCTACACTGTAGCAAATCTGACGTCAACTCCGTTGAAATTTCTTTACTTCTTTACTTGATTTTTTTCTCGTATTTTGTTCAATTTTTGGGATGAGATTTCTCGATAATTAGTAAAAATCTGATATCATGGGAATATTCCTCTGACTGTATCATATTAATGTGCTGAATATGTGCACTTAGTTCTAGAACACCTTGTATATACTTATATGAAATGAAAATGTTATTATCCATTCCAAATAATCAAATCGAGAATGATTAGTTGATATGGAATTGAAGTTTACTGAGCAGATATTTCTTTGAATCGATTTCAAATATTTCTGCTTCTTTTATATTTTCCAACTTATCAGGTAAGGAGCTGATAAAAGTATTCCACTATGGAATATTGATTGCTTACCAAAATTTGACTTTGAATTATTTGTCATCAATAAATTAAATTGCCTTGTTTTATGGCCGTGAATCGTATTAACTTCATTAAAATTCAAATTTGATGTTTTCAATGTCTTCCTGACAAAATGAATGAAACAGCAAATTATTAGTTTATATAATGAAACTAGATTCATCATGAAATATTTGTACTTTCCCAAATAGATATTAGATATTGTGAATTAGAATAAATAACACAGAAATACTCACTCTTTAGGTATCTAACAGGAATTAAATTTTGAATTTTATATAAAATACGTCCAAATAGGATTCAGTTTTTTTTTCTCAAATGATCCATATGTTGAGTCCACGATACTTTTTCATCAATATAAAGACCTTAAAATCTTGTTACATTTGTATATTCAATAGATTTTTTATTGAAGCATATTGGGGTATGTATCATATCAGTTGTTCTTCTTGAGATGTAAATTTCCGTAGATTTATTATAATTAAAAGTCAACTTATTGGTCGTTAGCTAAGATGATATCTGTTTTAAATAATTTTCAATATCATTATTGATATCGTTGAAATCTCTTGAAGTATTGAAGTATAGATTATTGTTGTATCCTCTGCAAATAATTTCAGTTTCCCTTTAAATTTCAAAGTAGATATTGAGTTAATGTGAAATAAAAATAAAATTGGCCCCTAAACTGACCCTTGTGGTACACCACATGTAATATTTTTCAAGGAAATACAAGTATTATTCACATCAACAAACTGTTTTCTATTCTTCAAATAATTTTGAAACCATTCATGAATTTTTACGAAGTAGATCAACATTATTTTGGCTCACTCTATGACCTTATTCAAAATAAAAATGTGAAAAGTTGATTCTTCAATATTTTCTTTCAAGGCACACAAGAAGTGATTCAAGACATTCCTCAAAACCATGTAGCTGATCTTGAGAATATCGACGTTGACGACATCAGTATTCCTAGTTCATTTAGGCAAGGAAGGAGATATTCGTGAGTATTCATTCTGAATTCTAGCTCTTCCGGTTATGTTGGTTAATGTCAGAAAAATAGTTTCAGCATCTGATACTAATAATTCCAAAAGATTAGGAAAAGCTTTCACTATAGATAGAAAAAGAGTAGTAATAATAATTAGGAATTCAGAAGAGTAGGTTGTGATCTATATTCATATTAATATTCGTAGGTAATATCCCGAGACCATGACAAATAGCCGACTAGTGTTTTCTTCATAATTCTATCGAGAGTACCTTGTATTTTGACAATTTGATGAGACCATATGAACATTAATAATCTATTCTATGATTATTTATGTTCATATGGTCGAATTGAATTGTCCCAAAATACAAGTTACTCGAGACGGATTAAAGAAAATAATAGTCACCATTTGTCATGGTTGACTGATATTCAGGAAGATTATTTCATGAACAGTGTAAAAATACTGGTTTTTGAGTTTCAACATTTTATTTAAGTTGAATTTTAAAATTCTGCAGATACTATTTGAATTAAAATTCTTCTGAAGGCCGTCTCTGGGGTATTCTCATCATATCTACGTACAATTGCAATCGATTCATCTAAAGTTAGAGCAAATAAAGAATATCATCGCTATTGATAGCGTTAATATTCTTTGATTAGAGCTTCTGTACTTTCCTTTCTTGTTTGACGAAAATATTGTAGGCTTTCCCTTTTTATATTATGCACCACCCTGGCACTTTTGAATTTGATATATTCAAATGGATTCGTCTTACGATTATGTTCATTGAAGTAACCTTTCTGAATATAGTTTTCCATATCAATTTCAACTGTTTATTCCAAATATTTCTCACCATTCTCCTCACCCAATCTTTCAGGATTTGGGCAATCACGTGAGATGGGGTAGTCTAACAAAATTCATAGTTTTTCTGCTGGCAAAAAAACATGAATTGTTCCAGACAGACTCTTTACTCTCCTTGATATTTTCTGATATCGGTTTGCTTACATAATTACGAATTTCCATAGTGGAAGTTGACCCAAAATGAGACATTTCAATTTTTGAGTGCCTGTTAGGTATGTCAAAGTTTGACAACCATAGCACTCTTATGCTGGCGAACATATTGTTTGTTTACCTAAATAGCCGCTGATATCGCATATCATGTGACTTCAATCATGACATAAGGATGTAATTCAATGTTCTGCGTGCATTAACCAGGAAAGTAGTTGTTTCTTTTCCGTCATCTACCATTGTTATACATTTTATGAACCTTTGTGGAAATTACTTTTGAGCTTTTTGCATTTATTTAACCTTATACCACTTTGACCATTGTGGCTATTTCGTAGTTAAAATATCCAGATAATAAACATGGCGTAACCGTTGAAATGAATAAATAATATGAATTATTGGTATTTTATTCATTAGGAACAGGGACCACGAGCGTATCCGTCAAAGCACCGGCGATTGGCAGAGCGATCCGACGTTTGAATGGAAGAGGAATGTGCTGGTGCAACCGCTGAGGAAATCGGTCTTGGAGCGAGCCAAAGAAATCAGGTGACTAAAACAAAATGGACGTTGAATAATGAGCCTGTTTTAGTGAAACATATTATTTCATTATTTCGAAGTACTAACCCTAACTAAACTGGTCAACATTGATAACGTCGTGGTCCAAACTATATTTTGAATTCGATGTAGAAAAACTCACGAATCTCCTCATCAATTTGAAATCGGTTTTCACCTATGATTAGCCTAATATCTTGACAGTTTGTTGTGGCAATATGAATTTTCTGTGATCTGAAATAACATTGCTACAGGGTGGTAATTGAATAGGTGTAAAATTGCATCGTGGTCTTCACCTTACCGTTTGAACAGATAATTTAAAAAAAAAATTCTCACGAAACGTTTTCGGAATTTTCAGATTCAGGGCTTTGATAACCGTGTTATGAATAATCATTCAAAATAATTCATTTTTTCCACGATTAATTGAATGAAATTGGAAGTTGGAATTCTTTTTCGAAGAATTAACGTTGTATGTATAGTCGTCGGATATATGATTGTGTTCGAACACAGAACATTTTGAAGAAGTCAATACAAAGTGATACAAGAGATACTGAATGATGGAATGGAGAATACCGTAGTCTTCAGTAGATGAAACATAATTTTCTCTGTGTTACTAGTGCAATAATGAAGTGTTACTTCGTCATGAGGATGTCTGGTGTCTGACCTCGAAATGGTTTTGTAATTTCTCGGATCGAAGGTCATTTTTAATCAATATGATGCATTTTCGTTAAGATAAATTATAGAATTCAAAAAATTACGATTGTAGTTCCAGAAGTATGAAATTTATATACATTCTTGACGATGGATTTACAAGGTGCCATAAAAAATATGTCCAGATTGTCCCGGGATGAAGCAGAATATGTTTAGACATGATGACAATCTCTATATTCCGAAAAAGATATATAGAGTCGGTCATTGTCGAAAATTGTGAAATGTATAAATTCAATAACATTCCATGTGGCTTATAGGAGCAAAAATTAAAACAAATTATCTGCTCGAACAGTAAGATGAAGACCACAATGCAATTTTACATCCATTCAATTATCACCCTGTAGCAATGTTATCTGAAATTACAAAAAATCCATATTGCCACAGCAAACTGTCAAGAGATTAGGATATGAACGGTGGAACCAGATTTCAAATTGGTGTGAAAATTCGTGAGTTATTCTACTTCGAATTCAGGCTATATTTTGGACCACGGCGTTATCAATGTTGACCAGTTTAGTTCACAGTCGCAAACCGCATTTTCTTCAGAGCTCTGTAACTTTTCTAAATGATTATCGAAATTCACGAACCTTCATAACATGAAAAACGCGAGAAGTAATCATTGGAGAGTACCATATAAGAATCGACTTACGTCATAATTCTCTATTTCTGATAGACAAGTGCAAGAATATTTCTGATTGTCATTTCAATCAAGATATGGAATTAGAGAACACAACACACAACTAAAGAATCAGATTATGAGGATTATCTTTGAATATTCGCATCTTGACTAGATGAAACAAGGATTTGACGATGAAGTTGCCAACCGATATTAACGTCAGGAAGTTATGTTGACAATGTAGCTAGTCTTCTCCTTTTTTTTCTATTTCTTGGAACCTTATACTGTTGCCTGTGCCCAAAAACAATTTGGGATTAAATACAATCTCGATCATTATTAGGAATACTAGGATATTTCTATTGGTAGTGAAGCATTTTGCAAGTATATAAGTATTCAATAAGTGATTATTAGGGACCAGGTCAAACTATTGTCTTCTGTGAATGTGAATACTATTGTCATTGGTCATATTGAATCTTATTAGGTAATTACTAGTTACAAATCTGCCAGCGTCGAAATATGTGATCTTACTTTTTATGTGAACCTAGCGTTTTTCGAAGTCGCCTAATTTAATTATTAAAAACAAATATTTCCGATGATTTTAAATGATTGTATCAAATACTATACCGGGTGTCAACGATTCTATTTGACAAGTCATAATTTCTAGACCATTAGGTTTATCAAATAGAGATTTGGTAAAGGGAAATGGTATGTGAAGAGGAGAGTTTTCACATATTTCTCACTTCCCGGTCACTTCCGGTTTCACCGGAGATGGCTCCGGTTTTAATTTTTCAAATGGAATACCCTGTATATTGTAACATTTTTGGATTTCTGAGACAATTCTAGATCAGAATGTGACATTTTTGAACATTTTTATGCCTACTTAATTTTTTCGGAGTCACTTTTGAAATTACATCTAGGTGGCCATGATTGGAAGTAAACTAATCTAAGGACCTTAGAGTTGATATCAGATAATTACAATCGCAAAGTTTCAGTGACAAGTATGATAGATATGACTAATACAAGTTGGCAAAAGTACATTGTCGTGTCTAACTATTATTTTTCGAATGGCGACCATTTTTTGACAAGCACTTTCCGAAAAAAGGATATTTTGACGAATATAACGATACTAATTTATTTGCGATTGGATTACAAATAAGAACATAAATTAAATATTACTGACGAAAATACTTCATAATAATGTATTTACTTTTGTCAAGTCTGCCATGGATGATAATTCATTTACTTGTAAGAACTTCCCGAAAAAATGTTATTTTGACGAATCAAACGATACTAATTTATTTTCGATTGGATCAACAAATTAAACAAAATTAACAATAACTTTCATCGATGAACTTACATTTTTTTCATTTTCCTAATTTCTTAAAAATTTCAACTATAGTAAATTTTCAGTGCATTCCTCCTTGTTCAAGACACATTCAATATTCAATTCATGTTCTTTTATTTAATCCAATCGCAAATAAATTAGTATCATAAGATTCGTCAAAATATCCTTTTTTCGGAAAGTGCTTGTCAAAAAATGGTCGCCATTCGAAAAATAATAGTTAGACACGGAAATGTAATTTTGCCAACTTGTCTTATTCATTTCTATCATACTTGTCACTATAACTCCGCGATTGTAATTTTCTGATATCACCTGAGGTCCTTAGATTAGTTTACTTCCGATCATGGCCACCTACATGTAATTTCAAAAGTGACTCCGAAAAAATTAAGTAAGTAAAAAATTTCCGAAAATGTCACATTCTGATCTAGAATTGTCTCAGAAATCCAAAAATGTTACAATATAAAGGGTGTCCCATTTAAAAATTTAGAACCGGAGCCATTTCCGGTGAAACCGGAAGTGACCAGGAAGTGAAAAATATGTGAAAACTCTCCTCTTCACATACCATTTACTTATACCTAATCTCATTTTGATACACCTGATGGTCTAGAAGTTATAACTTGTCGAATAAATTCGTTGACACCTGATATACACGGAATGATAAATATAATATAGGTATGTGGCGTAAAGTCAACTATTGTGTACAATCTTATTATTATTGAACTGCGTGACAAACGAAGTGTTCCATTACTTCACAAATTCGAATAAACTTAATTTCTACAGGTATTTTTGGGACTTTCTCTGCTGGTTTCAACAAATAAAAATATGAGTATTTTCAATATACCGGTTAAGTATTTTACATTTAACCCGTTGAGTCCTTGATATGGAAAAGCTCGATTGCAACTACACATAATTATTGAAATGAATCTGCACTGCCAACAGGAGTTTAAAAGTGTCAGCAAACCCAATGCAATACCGTATCAGCCAGCCATTTCAGCATTCGTTAAGTTGGGACCAGAAAGTTACTTTATAAACTTCTAACTTTGAGTTTGTCAATGAATAGAAAGATGAAAATGTAACAGCAAACTTCTATTTTGATTATCTGAAGTTCATAGCTCACTTAATTTCATCAGCACAATTTGCAAGCGGAGAATTATCAAAATCAAATGTGCCTTATCTGATTAAGCAGTCTGATGATCCCCAAATTATTTGAAGTTTGATGATAATCACGCTCATATCAGCTGGGTTTGTATGTACACAACTAAGAACGGCTGCCGGCCATATCTCATAGGGATTTCTTTTCATGCGCTCCAAGCGATAAAAAAACGAATAATGATACAACTTTGAAATTAAAATATCTCAAGAAAAGTGACCCTAAAAAATATCTGGAGAATTGAAAAAATCTCCGTATTTAGTAGTAACAAGGTGTACTGAAAATATTTGCAGTTTGATCGTTGATAAATTCCTAGTTTTTTTTGTTTCACATTTTTTGCTCCATCTTAAAAGATGAAGTGGTGGGTGGGTGAACGTCAAATTATGTTTTTTCTAAAGGTCTGTAACTCTGGTTATCTTTAGCAGTATTCAACAATCTTGGGCTTGTTGTAACCACTCTTTCCTGTTCTATCAACTGTGATTTTAATTTGTTCCATATTCATATCACCGTTGCCGCTAGAGGGCGTGATCTAGGGTATTAATGGATATCTTGATTTAAAAAATGAATGTAATGGTATGCATATCAATACATGATGAAAGAGAGAAATTTAATCTTAACAGACCAACGAAAACCGCAACATGATAGCTTTTCGTTAACGGAAGATATTAACGATCAAAGTTGGAAGAATTTTTTTTTGTATGTTCTGGTTCCCTGTAATGTTCAGAGAACATCGTAAGAATCAAGGGAAATAAGGTAGGAATTGGTGTTCTTCTTGAATTTCTGGAGGTTATATGCCGTTCTTAGTTATACACCCTGTATGTATGTTTGTATGCTTTTTAATCATGATTCGATTGTAATCAAGATTGGTTTCTAGAGTTTTCGGGTCGGAGATTATAATTTGTTCGTCAAAATTGTGAAATTCAGGATGTCGCAAATCCAATATGGCGGACGAGTATAGAAATTAGGATTCTATTTTATAAGAAATGGTATCTGGAGATTTCTGAGTCGGAGCATATTATTCTTTCGTCCAAATGAACATTGCAAATATCGTACGGAGGGAGCCATGATGAACATCAAAAATACGTCAAATATGTGTTCTGAAATTATGATCAGATTCTATTCAAAATTGGTATCTGGGGGTTTCTGGGGTCGAAAATTATAGTTCATTAGGAAATTCAAGATGGCGGATAAAATGTGGCGAACGAGTTCAGTAATTATGATGATGTGTGTCTTGTTTATGAATTATGATTCTATTCAAACTTTGTATCTAGTGGCTTCCGGGGTCGTATTCCATGATTCTTTTGTCAGAGTTGGGTTTTTACAAGAATATGTAAAATTTCAAAAACACGTTTCTGTACAAAACTGAAGAAACACGATTTTATTAGCAGTCGAACTGAAGAGAAGTATAAAACGAAATAATTTAAGTTTGTTGATTAGTACAAAGCATATACTATGTGTATGTACGTTGTGTATTCATCAACAAACTTTCATTATTTTATTTTCAACATTTTTCAGTTTGAGTATCTATAGAAGCATGTTTCTTCAGTTTCTCAAACTACTATTTATTTTTGGTTAAATATTCAATAAAAGATATCGTTTTATGTATGAAGAGAGAAAAATAGTAGACCTAGGCGTGTTAATGTCCCGAGCGAGAACGAATTGTATACTTCAACTCCTCGATTGATCTACTGACAGTATTCAACTTCTTGTGATAATAATTTCCAGGTGTGACAGAAATTCAATTATATATTTATTATTTCTTCTATACAGGGTGTAAATTTGAAAACTTTCAATGCGAATATCTCGCGAAAGAAAAAAGTTAGAAAAACGCCGTTTGGCAAAAATGCTAAAGAGGTAAGGGGAACTAGAATCACCATAACTCGGTCAAGGGATGAGTCACCCCGTCGGCGCGACACACCCCAACTTTGAAATGTCAAATGGCACTACCTTTTTTGTGATGCCTCAAATGAACAGTCTCAGTCAGTAGTATTCACCTGTACAAGACTTTTTTTCCACCCACTACAGGGTGTACGAAAAATATAAAGTCGAATAAAATAAAATGAATTGTGTTAAAAGGATATTTTATTTGATCAGATGTTCAAAATGCATTCCATTCTGTTGTAAGCAATAGTATAATCGATGTTCAAATGCCATTCTAACATTTTGGAACACATCTCTTGGAATATATCGGCATTCTGCATTTTATTTTATTCGACTTTATGTTTTCCGTTAACCCTGTAGTGGTTGAAAAATAAGTCTTGTACAGTTGAATACTACTGACTGAGACCGTTCATTTGAGGTATCAGAAAAGAGGTAGTGCCATTTGACATTTCAAAGATGGAGTGTGTCGCGCCGACGGGGTGACTCATCCCTTTACTGAAGTATGGTGGTTCTAGTTCCCCCTAACTCTGTAGCATTTTTGCCAAGCGGCGTTTTTCTAACTTTTTTATTTCGCGAGATATTCGCATTGAAAGTTTTCAAATTTACACCCTGTATAGTGACAATTTACTCAAGTTAGTAGATCATTGGGGACTGCTCCCTCTATAAACGTGTACTAGTTTTGAAATCATTTTCTGACATCATGTTACTCTCGGAATGTTCAGTGGGTCACGCAGAACGCGCTCAGTGCGAAAAAAACCAACCAGTGGACTGGTTACTGAAATACAGTTTGTTAAAACATTGGCGAATTCCCAATGGCATGTTTAGTGTGTTGAAAACACCGCCGATTTTAACCGAAAAGTTGAATTCCAGGGAGTGCCTGAAAAACGTAGAAATAGAAGAGTACCAGAAACAGTTGAGGCAGAGGCCTCACATGATCAGCATCAACGCACCGAATAATCTGAGAAAGAAAGAAGATAAAAAGAAAAAGAAAGCGATGTATGTGACGAGAGCAGTCAGAAATCAGTATGAATATAAGGTAAGGTTACAAAGGAATTATGAATATTTGATTCCTCATTTGTGTGATGCAATTCCGCGTGCTATTAAAAAAGTCAAATCATTTTATTGATTCAAAACTGAAATCTAAAAATTAATGTTAGTCTCTTGAAGGAGATTATTTACTTCTTTAATTAATATTCAATATCTCTATCTATATATGCTACAAAATTTTTAACAGTACTGAATTGTATGTATATTCAATGACTGAATGAAAAACAAGAAATATTTTTCATTTTATATACCTTACAAGTTGAACTTCGTGAAGTTTTCTTTGTTTATTCAATACCAATATGTATACTTTTAATTTATATCTTGAATAAACTTTATTATTAGAGATGAGTTTGAGCCATGTGCTTTTCTTTACGGTCGGCATTTTCTTTGAATACGACCGGACGCATTGAATTTGAAAACTTTTATGTTGGATATGGATGAAAATGCAGTTAGCTATTCTTTCCATTGCACAAAGATCATTCCTACAAATTAGGTTTTCATTTAATTTTTTTCACATAGATTCACCAAATGAAGAGCTTGTAGAGTATCCTATATTCCATTGATGAGAAATCACATACTAATTCGAAATATAATACATTCATTACTATTAAATAATTACCCTGGACTTAATATACAGCATGTTCCTAGAATTTCCAGTTGAAATCTGTGTATGTAGAGAGAACAATTTGATTATTTGGAGCAAGTTTCAAAATAGTGTTCCGTAGTACATCATCCTGATTTCCATTCGAATTGAATTTCTTCACATTATAAATCGGTTCTGGTTCATCCTATTGAATTTATTGTTTTTCGAAAAGTTGGGTAATTCATTTGGGGTTGATTCGTCTCCATTGAGTATGCTTCTAATTTTCATAGTAAATGAGCTATAACCTTTCAATTATAGACGCACCGATATGATATGTGAAATCTCGACCTAGTAGTGTACTACGGCCCGGTGAGATAGAGTAGGTCCTGAGTACACACGACCGATCTCTTGGAGTGCTATAAATCACTTCTTTCGCTTTTTCGCTGATATTTTTTGGTTTCTTGTCTCGCCTAATCGAATAATGCTTCTTTGGTTTCCACCTCTGTCTCCCCATGAGGTAATCGATCCAAATGATCACTAGAGTTTCGCGGTGGGGTATTCTATAATCCATCCAGGATGAGCAATGGGCGTGAACACCTTAGTAGAACTTTTAACTAAAACCATGTTTATAATGATCCTTTTATACATAAATAATGATTGACGACAAAATTCGATCGAAAAATTAACTGGAATGTTTTATTTTTTGACATAAATAATAGTACCTTCTGAAAACGGACCCACTTATGACGTGGAAACCTCATCTCGCCATAGTTAAAACTGACACTTGTCACTGTTGCCATATCATCCAAACAAAATATCCGAGAGATCGAAATCGATATTGAAATATCTATTGATATCCACTACCACTACTGCAGAAAAATATATTCAAGTTGTCGATTGTAGGTTGAATCATTGGAATATAAACAATCTCTAGACAACGAAATGTCCCAATCTCAAAACCATTTGCACCATTACAATTTCACATTATCCAAAATTATTGAAAGAGTTATGCATAAAAGATTATCTGATTATTTAATAAAAATTGAATTTCTCTTTGATGGTCAATATGGCTTTCGGAAATCCTGTGACACTGAATGTGCAACACTGGATGTTATTACTGACATTCAGCTGAAATTAGATTCAGACTACAGATGTGGACTCTTATCACTGGATTTGCGAAAGGCATTTGATACAGTCAATTTTGAAATTCTATTAATGAAATTAACTCGAATAGGAATAAGAGGTAAAGTTTACTCTTGGTTTGAAAATTATCTAGTTGATAGAAAGCAGTTTGTGTATATGAGAGATTAATTTTCTTCAATAAGAAACATATCTTGTGGTGTACCCCAGGGATCAATTCTCGGACCTATTTTATTTCTAATTTATATAAATTTTATCTCAAGATTGAAATAACAAGGGAATTTAAAATTATTTGCCGATGACACAACTCTCATTTATTACGGAAAAAATATACAAGAAATAAAAAACCAAATGGAACAAGATCTCGCTTCAATAACATTATGGTTACAAGATCATAAATTGACACTCAATTTCGATAAATCTTCTTTTATGTTCATCTCGAAAAGAATTATACCTGATAACCAAATAGATCCGTTAAAATTCGGGAATTTTTGTATAAATCCTACAAAAAACTCCAAACTCTTAGGTTTAACTATAGACCAGACTCTATCTTGGTCATCGCATATTCAATTGCTCAGGAAAAAAATATCTCCCATTATTGGTATTATACAAATTGAGGTCTTTTATACCTCTTAAATACTTAAAATTAATTTATTTCGGTTTGATTTACTCTAAATTGCAGTATCTGATATCGATCTGGGGTACTGCAGCAAAATCTGTTTTGAAACCTCTGAAATCTCTTCAAAATAAAGCCATAAAATGTATTTATAAACTACCATTTCTGGAATCAACATCTAGACTATACAAACTAAGAGATCTACTAGATATTGACTCTCTCTTCAAAATGAAAGTATGCATTTTCATTCATTTCACTAAAAATAAGAAAAAGCACTCGAATCTTACTTTCAATATCAATTCTGATACCCATGAGCATCACACCAGACAAAGTGAAAATTTGAAAACTGTTAAAATAAAAACTCAATCCGGGAAAAAATCATTGTATTTTTGTGGAATAAATATTTATAATAGTCTACCCAACAGAATAAAATCTATTAGATTCGTCACAAAAAAGTGTGAACTGAAGAAATATATTTTATCAATTTAACTCTCCCCTTGTATCAATTAATTCTGATTGAACTGTTTATCTTTCATTGTATTGCATATTTGATTTTTTTGTTGTTGTTTCCCTCTATAAACATTGTATGTTTCTTGGGATCAATAAATGTTATTATTATTATTATTAATATATTTCATAAACGTGGCAACATTGCTTTGTTGACCCGTTTTACATGGAGCTGCAAAAAGTTAATATAGGTTAGAATCGATCGATTTTCTTTTTGTTCTTATTATCTTTGTCCCAAAAATCAACTTGCCGATTCACCACTCTCGGTGTTTTGTCAAAAATCATGTATCATTCATCTCTGTCTGAAATAGTCTTGTTTCAGTATTAGGGTTTTGACGTCACATCATCGCCTCGTTTTCAGAGGTCCGAAAAATCTGGGATTTCAATAATTTTTTATAAAACGTAGGAAGCTCACAGCAAGAAACGGTTTGGGTGAGTTCTATCGAATTATGAAATAGAAATTTTTTGTGATATAAGCCCATTCCAATTAGCCAAGTACGAATTTTGCCAGGAATTTATCACAACCTTCCACGTTTCTATAGATACTACCACGGGAAATGTTTCTCAAAAATATCTGCTAGCATTTCATCACTAGCAAAACCAGTCAGACACACTCGACAAGCCCAATCAGCACATCATCTCGTTGTCAATCTTGACATAACTTGAACAACACTTCATCAACACTCGTTCGTCTGTTGAACGGCAAAGCTTTGGAATTGTTTGCCAATGAAAGTATTCCCAAGTACTTATAACCTTCAAATAATACAAATTCAATACCTACCTCATCTTCCTATCCACCTCAGGTACGCACGATGTTCTTGGAACATTATAGGAATTTCCTTTGGTGCGCTTCAAGAGATGAATAAAACTTAGGTAGATTGGGATATTTGTATCTAACATCGATACAGTTTATAGGTTTGGAGAGGGGCAATTAGTTACCAACGGTCTTGAAAACTTTTTTGAAGTCGAGAACTACACCTTTTTCAATTATTATTCAGAAAGTATAAGATGTAATTCAGAAAGTATAAGTTATAATTCAGAAAGTATAAGTTGTAATTCAAAACAGTTAACTGTAATTCAGAAGGTATAACTTGAAATCTAGATTAGTTAATTGTAATTCAGAAACATAAACTTGTAATTCAGAAACTAGGAACAACCCGTATGCGTCCATTCTCCTTGAGATTCGCGTAAATCAAGTTACCAACAATCAAAGCATGTTTTCATAGAAAGTAAATCGAAATATCAAATAAATGTCAAATAAATTGCACAACACACCACCATTCACCATGCTGCAGCTCTGGCATTTCAAGATATGCCCGTTGGTCGATAAATATAAGATGTTCACCAAATAATAAATTCATTAATTTCTATTCCCGACCCTTATTTAAGTCCATAGTATTTATGAATTACATGTGATGTTTTCTGAATTACAAATTACGCTTTATGAATTACAATTGACTGTTCTGAATTACAAGGTTCACTCTCTGAATTACATTTCACTAATCCGTATTACATGTTATGCATTCTGAATTACAATTGGCTAATCTGAATTACAATTGACGCTTCCTGAATTACAATTAACTATTCTGAATTTCAAGTTTTACTTTCTGACTTACATTTTACTAATCTGAATTACAAGTTATACTTTCTGAATTACAATTGAGAAAGGTGTAGTCTTATCTATGTAGAGTAGGTATATGATACTATTATGTACAAGAGACTTTTGAATCGACTGAAGAAATGCAACTTCATTGCTGGAAACCGAAATGGTTTTTTAAATGCAAAAATGGAGTGAAACAGCAGTTATTGACAAATTTGAATTTATTTATAATGAAAGGGAGAACAAAAAAACTTGTGAAGGGTCTATGTATGTAGAAGTACAGATATTGGGATAAAATTGAACATTTTATAAAATTGCAGGAAGACGAACCGGAGTCTTCCGGCAACTACTCGGAATCTTCCGAATCCTCAGATTGGGTAGCCGAAGAAGAAGAAGAACGAACGAGAAAAGAGCGCCCCAAAAGGTCGAACCGACGAAAAGTAAAAATCCAAGAAGAATCAGACCAAGAAGAAGAAGACGACGACGACGATGATGAAGAAGATTCAGATGATTTCGATCACGATCAGCCGAGCACCAGCAAAAACCACGTCAACCGCAGAAAAGAACCTAACCCCAACAAGACCAAAGAGAATAACTCGATAAAACACAACAAAGACAAAGAGAACCACGTAAATAAGAGCAGAGAGGGAAGAAGTAATCATGTAAGCAAAAGTTCCGAGAAGCAAAACAAAATCAAAGAAAGTCTCTTAGGCAAGGCTAATCTCGTCATAAGAGTAAGAGTGAGTGATTTTCCATTTTTTGTTCTACTGAAGGTTTTTTCTTTCAGCTGTCGAAAACCACTGCCGATAATGCTTACACTGCCGCACAGTCGACGAGTAACAATACGAATCCTAAGCCGAAATTGAAGTTGACGGATCAGTACAGGTCAGAATTAGGTCGATTTGAATTATTAATTTTTTGTATTATTTCAATCTTGAACGTGATTTCAATCGGATTTTTTATTTCACACTTGATTGTAATGAAATGATTCGATAATTAATAATTATCTAAATCTCCAATTAATTCAATTCGATTTTTGGAATTTGAATAGCTGAAGTTGTGATGAATCAACTTGATTTTTTTTTCATTTTGAATCATGATTTGAATTGCGATGCATTTTGAAGGACCTCGCACATATCTTATGAAAAATCGCTTTCAAATTTGCTGAAATTTTGGAATTTTCTGTTCATGTTATTCCGTTATAAAATTTCCCATTGGCACAAACTTCTACTATGTACAGAGTTATACATCGAGAAGGCCCACCCCTTTATTTACGGTGTTTTTATCAATAAAATACAAACGATATGGGGAAGTTGAATGCCACTTATCAGTAGTTTTACAGCGTGACAAACCACAATTCGATTTTTTTAAATGGAACAACTTATTTTGTGATCACAAAAGAATACATATACACAGTATGATATCTTTTATTTCCACTTTTTTATCTTCATTTTTTTGACTTCAGAAAATCATTTTTTTTTAAATTAGGTGGTGATCACTCAATGAGTTTGAAAATGTATACAGTGTGTCCCCAAAAAATGACTCCTAATGGAGCTACGGCCCCCTGGAAGGGGGTTTCTGGAGATGATATTTCTTGAGTATTTCCGGAACTCCATGTGATAAAAAGATGCAATTTGGTACAAGAACTAAACTTTTCATGCCCAATGTTGTGAAAATTAAATAATTTCCAAATTCTACTCAGGAGTGTATAATACAGGGTGGGACTACATTAAATATTGCTCAAAATGTTGCATATTCTTCGACAATTCTATCTCGGATTATGAAAATGCACACCTCTTCACAAAAGAAAGGTACTCTTGTTCCGTTACGATCATGTATTATTATCGAGTAAAAGCGATTTAAGAATATTGTTATACCTCAGATATTATGCATAACATTGCAAATGAGATATAGTGGAAATGAAAAAAAAAATTACAAAAATTGAAGTAGTTTTTTCATAATCATTTTCCTATTTTTCGCGTTTTTATGAGATTGTTTGGTGAAAAGAAAGTAGTTGATTTTTTTATAGCCACTATGATTCAAAAATTGGCAACGTTGTGCATAAGATGTGAGTGTATCAATATTTTTGAATCGATTCTACTCGAAAATGATACATCTGATCGATGCAGAACACAAGCACCTTTTTTTGTGAGACGGTGTGGATTTTCATTATCCGATATTTTATTGTCGAAAAATATGCGTACAAAAAAGTGTTAGCAATATTTCATGTATTATACACTATTGAATGGAAAGTTCAGTTCTTGTACCAAATTGTATCATTTTATTAGATGGCGTTTCGGAAAAATTCAAGAAATATCATCTTCAGGAGCCCCCTTTCAGGGTGCCATAGTTCCCTAAGGAGACATTTCTCGACTCATGTTCATTGAAACTTTTCTACCTGGTTTTAGTCGTAGGAACTGCTGGTGAAGTTCGGCAAGCTTATTTCGGGACACCCTGTATAATGATGCAATATACAACTATCCAATATACTTCTATTCATGGCTTACACGATATCTGTAGGATCCGACACAAAACATTGTTCTTCTGGAGTCAAAAAAGTGAAAATGATGAAGTGAAAATATGAAGAAATCACAGATTCTAAAAAAAATATAAAAAACAGACTGTTCCATTCAAAAAAGTCAATTTGTGGTTTGTTAAGCTTCTAAGGATCACCCTGTTAAAATACTGATGAGGGCTGTGGAAAAGCTTCATTGGCATTCAACTTCTGCATATCGTTTGTTTTTTCTCGATAAAATATAACGTATATATAGCCTTCTTTATGGATAACCCTGTACAGTGCATTCCATTTTGTTTAAGACTGCCAGGAATCTCGGTTGTTATTGAAGATAGAGCCTTGCGGTTTCCACGTTCCTTTCCTACTTTTTTGTGAAACTACAGATGGCCATATGCGATTTTGCATATCGTTTTCCGTTTATCCATATCTACAAAGTTATTAGAAATAATAATTGCGGTTTATTTAACCGATTCCGCCTTCGTAATCACTTCAATGTGGCGTTTTATTTGTAACTTTTTCGATTCCGGTTTCTACTTTTCATTCCGTCTCACTACAAGGAATGACGTGGAATAACTGTTGGCAGTTGTCAAAAAATTAAATTACATTGACCAAGAACGAAACTTTTTGAAAGTGGAAGACATTCAGAAGACTTTTTCAGTGTGAGGTTCACAAGTTTATGATTCTTTCAAGTAAGATTGGTTCCATATGTTCATCTTTATTTCCAGATAAAATTAATTCTACTCGGAATTCTCTCGATCTCAGGAAAGTTTCTTCGATCATCAAAATCACGGCTCCAAATATGCGTTGATTCATTTTCTAGATTCTTACTCTGAAATTATTATTATGAAATTTCAACCTTCATCATCTATAATATAAGTTTCTCGTTTCATTTTTAAACATCATTCTATTCCTACCACCACTACCAAAATGAAACGAATAAAACGCAACATGAGACTTGCGGTTCTCACGTTCCTTTGCTACTTTTTTGTGAAACTAAAGTTGGCCTTATCAGATTTTGCATATCGTTTTCCGTGTATCCATATCTACACAATGTTATTAGAAATAATGACATGCTAAGAAATACGCCTAACAGGGAATTGTGAGCTGAATCCAGTGGCGTTATCAGATTATTCTTCGGGGTATACCCTGTATTTAAGTATATCGTTATATTCGTTTTTTTTTTTCCTTCAAAATGATATACAGAGTGATTCAAAATTCGATGTATATTTTCTAATGACATATTGGGATCAAAATAAGACTTAATATAAACACGTATCCTGAAATGCACCCCTTCGGAACTACAGCCACTGTAAGTTATGTAAAAAAAGATTATCTAAAAGTGTGACCCAATTAACGAATAAAATTTTCTGAACATTGGCATGCCCTGTCTTTTTAGAAACTGTGTTTCCTTCTTGCTTCAAAAATGATGTAAACTCAGTTTTGGAGGAGTTGAAGGGGGTCCACACTTTCATTGGCTCAAATGTTATGTTTAAATTGAGAAACTCTGACTTTGAATAGCATGATCTTGTGTGCCATAAAAAAATGTTGGAATTCGTCAGTATTTGAATGCTTTGTACACTTGATCCGATATTGTGATCACAAGTTGCAGATATTTTTTTTACATAATTCACAGTGTAGTTAAGTCATTGGGGATCAAAAATAAGGCTTTCCTGGAAATAAGTCAGGAAGTTTCGATACTTTGCAGGTTTGTAGGTTTGAATGTCCAGAATTAAAATTCACAAAAAACTTTCAAAACGAAAAATCATGCGGAAATAGTATATTGTACCAGGTGATTCAATAAATATGACGAGATTCTGTATCTGAGGAGCTAAGAATTTTGCCAACAAGGCCTGTATCAAGAAAGGAATGTTTGACGAATGAAATAAAAAATCATACATGTCATTCTGGGGTTCTTACCGCCCTCGCAAAGGGGCGTGTTTTATAGACTATTAGTTTCTGAGATACAGTACCTCGCCACCCTTATTGAATCACCTGGTACAACAAGTGGAAAAAGTTCAACTTTCCTCACGAGTGTGAAAGTTTGTGGCACGAGCCTGAAGAGCGAGTGATGCAAACACACGAGTGAGAAAGGTGTTTTTCCCCACATGTTGCACACTATACTTTTTCTACAATTGCATACTCATTCAAAGAATCCGAGTGATGTAGCTTATTGGTATTCAATTTATAATGTGGCACTATGCCACATTGAATATTGTGCCCAAAGAGTAGACGCCTTTCCTAGTTCCTCAAAGTATTCCAAAAAACTACACTCCTCAAAAAAGATTTTATTTCTATATTTTCATAGATTCCATATATTTTTCGTTTGTGCCAATTCAAACTTTTTTCTTGAAATTTCCGGAAAAAAATCGAACTTTCGCAGCTTCTTCCATAATCTCTGTCTCTGGCGGTGTATTTATCAAAATCGTCACATCTCGGTATATTGCAATTGAAATTGAAATTTATTGAAATCATATATATCATATTATTTATTATGAATTGTTGGAATAATATTTGATGGAAAATGCGATTTCTATCAAAAGCATGAGAACTACCCTAAAGAATTTAAAAAACTTTTTCTGACAGTTGTGACAACTATTCACAGCTGAACAGCAGCCAAGTTCTGGTCGATTTATGTTGATTCTCCATGGAAATATATGTGGTGTTGGCAAAGTGCTGTGAGAAAAAATATTTTCCACAGTATGAGCAATACATGGTGTTGAAACTAAGATAGCTATGAGAAATGCGCTACTTTTCATAGTAGTAGAAAAACTTAATTTACTGCTGTTCAGCTTTGAATAGTTGTCACAACTGTCAGAAGGAGTTTTTTAAATTCTTCAGGGTAGTTCTCATCAGTGCTCTTGATAGAAATCGCAGTTTCCATCAAATATTATTTCAATTATCCATAATAAACAATATGATGTATACAGCGTGTCCCAGCTGAAATGTCCTTCCCTGTAAAATATCAACCGCGCGATCGAATGACTTGAAATTTAGTCACCCAGTATATTTGATGATGCTGACTCAAAATATGCTATTGAATACATCGTAGGTATACAGGGTCACACCGAAGTGCACCTCAACTTTCTTATTAGAATAGGGACACCCAGTATATTATTCCATATCCAAGTGAAGTTCATTATTACAAAGTCAACAATGCTGGGTTTGATGGGATTTTTTCAAACGACTACGAAGATATGGCAAAAAATAAAACGATACATAACTACAGACCCGTGAAGGATTATCTTTGCCATCGATTTGGAGAAAATCTAATAACCACCAATTGTCTCGATGGTGATAGCAACTGGCCAGCTGGGTCGCCAGACCTCACCCCACTTGATTTTTATTTGTGGGGCTACTTGAAACAACAGGTTTATGAGTCGCCAATTGTGAATATGGAAGAAATGAAAGAGAAAATCACAAATTTATGCGCACAAATTGATCGCAACATGATACATAGGGTAACAATTAACGTTATCAACAGAGCTAGAAAATGTTTGCAGCAAAATGGACGACATATTGAGCAGTTGAGGTTTCAATCATTTTATTTTAATTATATTTCAATCGTGTTATATTATTCAAATCAAATCATATAAATCGTTCTATCAAATCATATAAATCGTTTTATTTTTTGCCATATCTGCGTAGTCGTTTGGAAAAATCCCATCAAACCCGGCATTGTTGAAGTTGCAATAATGAACTCTAATTGAATATGGAATAATATACTGGGTGTTCCTATTCAGATAGCAAAGTTGAGGTGCACTTCGGTGTGACCCTGTATACCTACGATTCATTCAATAGCATATTTCGAGTGAGCATCATCAAATATACTGGGTGACCAAATTTCAAGTCATTCGATAGCGCGGTTGATTTTTCATAGGGGGGGACATTTTAGCTGGGACACGGTGTATACCGAGATGTGACGATTTTGATAAATACACCACCAGAGACAGAGATAATGGAAAAAGCCACGAAAGTTGGATTTGTTTCAGAAAATTTCAAGAGAAAAGTATGAATTGGCACATTCTAAAAATTTATGGAATACAGAGATGAAATCTCTTTCGAAAAGTGTACTTTTTTGAAATACTTTGAGGAACTAGGAAAGGCGTCTACTCTTTTTTCACAATATCCAATGTGGCATAGTGCCACATTATAAAAGGAATACCAATAAGTTACATTACTTGGATTCTTTGGATAAGTGCTGTTGTAGAGAAAGTATTGTGTGCAACATGTGGGGAAAAGTACTTTTCTCACTCGTATCTTTGCCCTTCAGGCTCGTGCCACAAACTTTCACACTCGTGAGAAAGATTGAACTTTCCCCACTTGTTGCACAATATACTATTACGGCATTATTCGTTTCACAACAAAGTAAGGCAGTAATGTGAAAACCGCAACACTCTCTAAAGATAACTGAGATATTGCGCAAACGAAGGCAAAATCATCAAAAACTACTACTACTACAATCACGTTTACTCTTTAGTAGTGTTTCTTTGGAAAATTGTGATTTTTATCAACCGTGGTTTAGGTTGAGCGAATGGTTGTCTGAGACTAGGCCGAGAAAGTCACCCTATTACCCTCAGCTAGGGGATGAAATCGTCTATTTCATGCAAGGCCATCAACTCTATTTGAATGCCGTGGAAATGAAGAAAATCTACGAAATCAGCACGAAGGATTTGCCTTGGAATAAAATGCAGATCAGGGTAAAAATTGAAATGTAAACTGTCTGACAAACGAAGTGGTTCACAAATGAACGCCCAAGAATTTTTTTAGAAAAATGTATGTACAGGGTCATTCCGTATATTTAAACAGCTTCTACAAGGTTCATTATTGAAGATAGAGAAAAACTTGGAAAGCAAAAGTTGTAGGGTTTGTTCTGAACCTCCAGAAAATTATACCAGATGAAACAAATGAATATCGCTGATATAAAAAATGGGTATCAACTTCGTTATTTTCAATGTCATACCCTATATATTTTTCTCAAATTTGGATACTACTTTGTTTGTCAGGCAGTTCATTTTCCATTGGTTATATCGTTAAACAAACAATTATATCAGTTTTTGTGTTCTAGGATCACGAGTTCGTCAAAGTAATAGGCATCCAGTACGAAATTAAGCCACCGAGACTGTGTTTTTTAAAATTGGGTATACTGGATGATGAAGGCAGACTGACAGGCAAAGGTTTCATTGTGAAATATCACGATATGCCGGATGTTCTAGATTTTTTCGTCCTCAAGCAAATGTATATCACTGCCATGTCAAGAAATTGGCAAACCAATGATAAGTACGATCAACAAATATTGACATTCGGATTTTTCAGTTATTCTGATTTCCCAAAATCGGTCGAGCTTGGAAGGAATTTCCTGCTAGAAAGTGTTTTAATCACTTTGTTTTTCATCTAATTAGTATGTGACGTCACTTGTGTATTGGTATTGTACAAGCTTCTCATTGTCGCTATCATTTTGAGATATCTCTCATTTTTAGAATCTAGTACTAGAAAATGCAAAAAAGCATCGTAAACCTAAACATAAACTAGCATTTTTTGAATGGAACACCCTATATTTTATTATCCTGGGCGGTAGAGCTCTTTCTTCTGATTTTAAATATATATGCTCAATCGAGGTTAACTTATGTCAATTTTAAAAAAATATAGATTTTTTTATATATATATTTAAAGCATGTGTTGAACGCCAGACGAAAATGCTGCTTTTCTGGCGTTCTACCAGCTAGCTGCCTTAGAATCTATATATTTCGAAAACTGCCAAAAATAACCTCAATGAAGTGAATATATTTGAAATCAGAAGACTGAGCTCTTCTGTTGAGAAAAATTAAATACAGGGTGTTCTCCTCGCATTTTCTATTACTAGATTCTGAATGACCATAAAACATACTTCATTTTTCCCCTTTGAACGTTTTTGTAAGATCTATATCAACTGGTCGCAGTAGCTCAAAATTTTTCGGCACCGAGTGCGTCTTGCGTGGTGCACTGAGAATTTCAAGAACGAATTCTTGTCGAGAAATAATTTCCACTGGCTTCAAAACTTGCTCGATGCCCGCTTATAGTTCAAGTTATCAGAACTGTGCTTGTACGACGGTGCAATACACATAACCTCAAATATTCCAGTCACGCGTGGGAAAATGTTTGGAATGTGAATAATTATAGATGTCTCATTGAAGTTCATTACTATTATACAATAATTTCCGAAATCATAGATACTTCGGATTCAAGCGATGATGTACTTCGTTACGAAACAGCGTTTACGGAAGATTCAAAATCACCTAAAAGTTGAAGAAAGTTATGCAGATGTACAGGTCTTAAACATATTTGATTGTTGATTCAGTTATGATGAAAAATACTAACTTCGTGAACTACACTTCATTGCTACATCACTATTGTACAATGATTCAATTGAACATCATTGACAATGAACATTCATATATAAGACTGTTTCTGACTGGTTTCTGGCAGTGTACAGGGTGGGCAAAATTGGGCGTTTTCACCGTCTATCTCAATAACTGGAGGAGTTATCGAAAAACCAATATACATGTTCCGGGTTCGATTTTGGAGAAACCTCGAATGGCACAATCAAAATTTCGATATCTTCATTCGTTTTAGAGATACAGGGGGAAATTGAAAATTTGCCGATTTCGATTTTATTTTCTGACTACTTTACGGTAAGAGGTATCAAAAAATGTCAAACGTATATTCATACAGTATGATGCGTGGAATCCATTGGCATCATCAGAAATTTTATACAGGGTGACGTTGAAAAGATACGGCAGCCAATTATGTTTTTTCTAATGGAACACTCCGTATATTTTGGCACAGTTGAATAGTCCCAGGCGTTCTCATTACAAATATATATATATATATATATAACCCTACCTTTTCCTTCCACAATTTCAGATATATTCGCAAAAATATATTCAGTGTGTCACATTTCTTATGGTTACACCCCCGTATCTTCTGTAAAAATAATTGAGGTAGGATTCAAAAATTCGCAACTGTCAGAAAGATACAAATGATACACTCATGGAGTCATGGACCAAGTGAGATCATCTCCAATGATAACACTGCTCGCCAGCAGCTATGGAATCATCGATATTTCTGGATAATGCTATCAACAGGCAGAATCGAGGTTGAAAATGACACTCTGTATATATTCACCAAATGTGGAAAATAAATATCATAGGAAATGTGATTTCCAGATAAATGGATATTTGGTTAGAAATAAAATGGGAAATTATTCGATTTGATATCAGTGTTCAAAGTTCCCGTTTCAATTTCGAATATATATCTTATTTATTATCTCTTTGAACTCAAAAATATTAAGGCATACCTACTAGAAATAATGGGTGAAGTATCATATTCAGGCATTCTGCCACAAAATATTATTATTGTTAATGTTTCCATCAATTATTTTTACAGAAGATACGGGGGTGTAACCATAAGAAATGTGACACACTGAATATATTTTTGCGAATATATCTGAAATCGTGGAAGGAAAAGGTAGGGTTATATATATATTTGTAATGAGAACGCCTGGGACTATTCAACTGTGCAATAATATACGGGGTGTTCCATTAGAAAAAACATAATTGGCTGCCGTATCTTCTCAACGTCACCCTGTATAAAATTTCTGATGATGCCAATGGATTCCACGCATCATACTGTATAAATATACGTTTGAAATTTTTTGATACCTCTCACCGTAAAGTAGTCAGAAAATAAAATCGAAATCGGCAAATTTTCAATTTCCCCCTGTATCTCTAAAACGAATGAAGATATTGATTGTTCCATTCAAGGTTTCTCCAAAATCGAACCCGGAACATGTATATGGGTTTTTCGATAACTCCTCTAGGTATTGAGATAGACGGTGAAAACGCCCAATTTTGCCCACCCTGTATACAGGGTAACCACAATAAGAGATATATGAATCCATTTACCACCACCAACTATATATTTCTATTCCACCGCTTTGTGCTGGAACCGCACTTTATGGAAGAACCGAGCCAGTTCCACTTGTACTTGGTCTGTGCTAGTGCGCTCTGTGAATCGGCGAGTGGAAAACGCTATGAGATAGCTATAGAGTAAAATATAAACAATCATCGTGTACATAAATATGAAAATTGGCGATATGGAAAATGATGCCACATATTCACAAGGCTGATCAATGAAGAATTCAGTAAAAATCTTGATTTTGAGTTCACGATGCTTTTTTGCATTTTCCAGTTCTATTCTGAGTGCCCACCAAGAAACTCCATTTTGCCCCAATACTGAATGAGGTAGCTATCGAGTAAAATATATAAAATCATCCTGTACATTGTTGTTGCTGATACAGTTTCAGTTTTAGCTAAATTCTACATTTGCCAATATTCAGCACAATTTATTGACTATAAAAGTTCTGGGCCTAATTAGTAGGTGGCTTCGAAAGAAAGGTAATGCAGAATCTTTCATAATTCCAATCGAAATTTACAAATCCATGATATAAAAGCTACGTAAAATCACATATGGTTGGGATATAAGTTGGTTATTAAATCTTCGTAGAGAATTGGCGTTGAGGTCTTATCTCGGGTCTTATAGTATGTTGAACTGAGTTGTGTTTTTCAGTGCACATACTTGCCTACTGGATGTTTCTATTTCGAAAGACGATGGTAAAACAAAGTGATTTGAAACGATTCAGTTTTCCGAGAATTACTTCCAAGCAGAATTTTTATCTGTGTATCAGACTGGTCCTTAATGACAGATTCTGTGTAACGTTTGTTCAATGTATGCAATCTTTCAAGTCATGATTTCTATGGGGTTTCAACTTGTCCTAGACAATGTGCTAATAATAATTGTGCTCGAATGCAGCGGCGTCACCAATCACATTCGAATTTGCATTGATAATTGATAATTCCGAACTTTTAGTCGGCAGCATATGCAAATTCTAACAAAAACCAATTTGCATACACTTACTAATCGGTCGAAATCATCAATTTTCAATGCAATTTCAAATCCATCCAGTCAGCACATCCCTTCGTCGTTCTTTGTAGTTGAGCTTGGAAAATATCGAATTACACTCTTTCAAAACTCGTTCGTTTATAGAACAGCGAAGCTCGAGAATTCTTTGCCATTGGAAGTATTCCTGAGAAATTATAATCTCCGAAAGGTCAAATAATTTCAACACCTACCTCCTCTCCCTATTCTCCCTTGGGATGCCCGATGTTCCGCGAACATTATAGGAATGTGCTTTCGTGCGCTCCAAGAGATACAAAAATATAAAAATTCGATTGGTGACGCTGCTGCATACGAACCCAATTAGATGATTAGGACATTTGAAAAACAGTGGTATCTCGTGTTCGTTCCAACAGGGGAGGCTGTATGAAAAGTGTGCATGTGAAATTCCACGAAAAAAACTGACGACACTTATAAGGTTCTTGTTTACAGAAAATCCGTAAGAGGTGCTGATATAGTCATATTTTTACTACTACCGGACCAAATAACAATCAGTTATTCTTATAAAAAATACAGAAATGTTATAAGTAGGTTCATTTTTGATAGTGTTTGATAAAATTCTGATAATTGAATTTCAAATTCCATTTCAAACTGAATTTGTATAGCGACATCTATCAGAATTAGATGTAACAAGAACCCTATATCGCGATTTTCAACTGTTGTATAGAGTCGAAAATGTTTCCAATGATGGCCGGGTGCACTGTATAGATGTGGAGATTATCTGGATGAACGAATCTATTATTCAATCTACAACTCATTGTTCTTGGCACACTCCAGATATCTTATATCCATCTGGAGTACATGTGGTAGAAATAATTTCAAAATGATGCAAACCCTTCATTCACTTAAATATTGTCAAAAGCATTCAAATTTGGTTTTCCAAATCAATAGTAATCACCACAACCATACAACCTGTCAAGCAGATCATTTTTCTGTCAAGAAAATTAAATCAGATATTGGTAAAAAAGCCATCTATCACAATGGAATGATACAATACAATTCACTACCAAATAACTTGAAGCTGATTAATAGGATTGAAAAATTTAAAAGAGAATTCAAGAAACATCTACTCCTGTAATATTGACATCTTATCTCATTTTCATAGTTTTCTTGTACAATTACTATAGTTTTCAATTGGGTACCTAACAACTGAGTCAATTGAGAATCATTTTCATTTGAACTTGAGAAAAAAAAATTTTTGAGTGTGAGTCTTATTTCACTGTCTTCTTTATTTTATTTTGTCAAATATATTTATGTATTCACTATGTTTCCTGCTTTAAACAAATGTTGTTTCTTGGAAATAATAAAGTTGATTGATTGATTGATTGATCATGATGCATGTGTTGAAAATCCTCTTCAATATTGATAATAGAATACCTACAGAAGAAGTTTACATTCAATCAAAAATTGCTCAACAATTGCTGGAACAATGCAAATATATCTACAAACTCACGAACAACCAACAGAAATACAATGTTCATCTTGATCATATCTACCAAATTCACTCTCATGACACAAGAAAAAGGGTCAACATTCACTAGGACCATGCTAGAACCGAACTTGGACTGAACAATCCAATGAATAGAAGTATAGAATCGTACAACGCATAACCAATGATAATAAAACTTATAGACACCTTCAACTTATTTCACTAAGAACTGAAACGGTGGTGGGAAATGTAATATAATGTGATTTAGATTTAGGCCTCATTAATATCCTCATATTACTGTTTTTGTACACCATTGTTACATATTACTAATAGTCCTTTTATTCTTATTATGTTCATTTTGCTTTTCTACATTATTGTTATACTTTATTTGGAACCTCTACATTATTGTTATTGTTGATTAGTAGATGTAGATATGAAAATAATCAATTAAATGTAAGTTTAATGTTGTATGTAACTGTTGGTGTACATGTATTGCATTGAGATTACACAATTTATATTTCCACGCATGTCATGTAATGATGATATTTTTATTCCGATACCAGCAAGCTTCAAATTGCTGTTCAAGAATTATATTGGATCACATTGGAAGTATATTCTTATTCAAATTAGGCCATACATATGTTCAAATTTTATTGTCTTATACTGAAGAGTGCTTGAAAAATGCAATGTACATTAAGGTAATTATTGAAAAAAATACCTATTCTCAATCACACGTGCTTCTCGCGAATTGCGATTATGCAAGTCGCCTAGTCGCATATTTTCATTCTATTCTGAATACTTTCAAGTAAAAGCATGTGTTGTCCCAATTCGACTAAACAATATTTCTATTCAAAAAGTTTACTTCTTGAATTCTCCAGACATACAAAATCTTCAGGGGGGATACTAGGCAATCGACTGCTACTTCTTATCCAAATAATAGGTACAATGGTCAAAAGGTACTTACAGTACATACTCCACTAAACAACAATACAAATCACCACCACATCCACCTATGTTATTACTTTTTATCAAAAAAATCAAATAAGTACAGTACAGTTATGACAGTTTCAGCCACCGGCTCGACCAGCTTCTCACTTGCGACTTTACCAATACCCATCTCACTCTTACCCAAAATACACTACGTGAACAAAACATAGTAACTAGCTAATAAGCAATCCAACAAAAGTTAGGGTGACCAAAAGAGACACATCACACGCATTGCTGCCAAATTCTTGAATTCAACTTGATAACAGGAAATGAAACCGATAAAACGAACGTAAGTATTCGATTCGATGTATGGATTTTCTTGAGGAGGCTCAGCCTTCTTTGTCCCCCCCCCCTGAGGAGCCTTCACTGGTTGAAAATCCATAAAAATCATGACTTGAAAGATGCATAAGTCGAAAAAATATTACACAATCTGTCATTCACGGCTAGTGTAGGTTCTCGTTTCACGCTCCATTTTAGTTTTAGATGTATGATTGACGATGAATGGTGGATCGGGCAAATCATGAACAAATCACCGGCCAGCGAGAATTTCCCGGATTCCTCATTTTTGTGTTACGAAATAAAATGGACTAATGGTGAATTGGAACGGATGAGTCCGTGGGACATGGAAACGATCGATCCTGAGAGTAAGTCATCCAATTTGAAATGCACAAACGAATTTAAATACACTCATAGATTGACTCTTTTTTGAAATCCTGCATTTCTGAAAGAATCGAACGATTCACTTGTGGTTTTTCCTATCAAATGCTCAATAATGTCAGCACCTACTAGTCAGCTATTAGACGTGCAATCGGCGATTGGGACCGATATGAAAAGCCTCATCAATATGATCAGTTTTTCAGAGACAAACATCCTGTTGGACAGTGCCGTGCTTTTTTATTGAAATAAAAAGGGGTCGATTTTCATGAAATCATATTAGGAATTTTCGCAAGAAAACTAATATCATATTATTGTTCCTAGTGCTTTCGAACCTCCATGTGCAAAAAATCCTCATTCCAAATTAACAGAATTGACTCGATTTTTTTCATTTTCAGCCTCGGAAAATAAAGAATTCAAATTATAGCTGCGGTATTTTTTTTATGTTCTGGTTCCCACGGAAAGGGATATCCTGTGATGTTCAGAGAACATCGTGAGAACCAAGGGAAATAAGGTAGGAATTGGTGTTCTTCTTAAATTTCTGGAAGTTATATGCCTCGGGGAACACCTCCCTTGGCAATGTGTTCCAGAGCCTCGCTGTTCGTTGGATGAACGAGTCTTTGGAAGGAGATGTTCTGCAGGTCTCCAAAGTGACCACGAAGGGGTGCGAAGCCTCAACTCGACGGGTTAATCTCGTGGGGACTGCCAACAATTGTTGATATTTCAGTAGAGCATCGTCCATGAAAATATCTATAAAATAGAGCCAGATCGTCAACTTTTCTACGGTGTTCCAGAGAAGTGAGTGAGTTTGTGAGTGAGGCATCGCCCACGAGACGACATGCCCTTTTTTGAGAATCCAACAGTTTCAGGGTATGTTTGGGTGCTGCACTCCAAATATGAGAACAGTATTCCAGGACAGGTCGGATCTGTGCCTTATACAGTGTGTCCCACTTACCATGCTCACCATGGGTATCTTTTTAACAGTGAGAGATACGAGGTCGGTTAAATGACACCAAATGTGGAGTTTGTCAAGGCCAACTATAATGTGAAAAAATATTTTGATAAAATCTATTCGTTTTTGTTTCATACGCAAAAAACAGATTTTGATCATTTTCATGTCTCCTCCGTAACTTCTTTATTCATGAAAATATTCAAATAGGAATTTCACATTCTCATGGCAGTTTTTCAAAGTGATTTCGAAAAAAAAATGGAATTCATTCTAACTCTTCTAGAATTTGAGATATCATCACCAACTTTAGTTTTTCGAATGTAGGTCATAGCTCACTATGACTTAGTTACAAATAACTTTTTTTTCTTTTTCAGATGATATGTCGCAGTAATAGTTTTGTGTTGATAACAACGGAGTTATCGTCATTTATACAAAAACAAAAAATTATTCGGAAGCCGCCATCTTGAATTTATGAATTTCAACAAAAAAAATCATGATCTCCGACCTCAAAAACGCCCACTTACCAATTTTTGAATGGAATCGGACCAAATCTTGTCCGCCATCTTGGAGCAGCCATTTTTTTAAATTTCAACAAAAATCCATAATGTATTGTCACCGAAATTATGAACACCTGCAAATTTCAAGTTAATCGGAGTTATGGAATTTTTGTTGAAATTAAAATAAATGGTTGCTCCAAGATGGCGGACAAGAATTGGTTCGATTCCATTCAAAATTGGTAAGTGGGGGTTTTTGAGGTCGGAGATCATGATTTTTTTGTTAAAATTCATAAATTCAAGATGGCGGCTTCCGAATAATTCTTTGTTTTTGTATAAATGACGATAACTCCGTTGTTATCAACACAAAACTATTACTGCGACACATCATCTGAAAGAGAAAAAAAAGTTATTTGTAACTAAATCATAGTGAGCTATGACCTACATTTGAAAAACTAAAGTTGGTGATATCTCAAATTCTAGAAGAGTTGGTATGAATTCCATATTTTTTTCGAAATTACTTTGAAAAACTGCCATGAGAATGTGAGATTCCTATTTGGATATTTTCATAAATAAAGAAGTTACGGAGGAGACATGAAAATGATCAAAATCTGTTTTTTTGCGTATAAAACAAAAACGAATAGATTTTATCAAAATATTTTTTCACATTATAGTTGGCCTCGACAAACTCCACATTTGGTGTCATTTAGACGACCTCGTATCTCTCACCGTTAAAAAGATACCCATGGTGAGCATGGTAAGTGGGACACACTGTAGATCATACGCAGCTGACTGGAAGTGAAATAGATTCTGGCCCGAAACAGAAAATCAAGTTTCTGGGATGCACTCTTAGCAATTGATCTCACGTGATTTTCCCAAGAAAGGTTATTGCTGATAGTAAAATACGAAGCATCGAAATGGATGTCTTCAAAAATATGGTTACTCCTGACATGCTAATGTTTGGCACAGTGATATCGGCTTTTCTAGAGAAAAGGCATGCTTGTGTTTTGTTTGCGTTGAAATCTACCAAGTTATTGGATCCCCATTCGAGAATTGTTGCCAAGTCCATATTTATGTTGTCAACATTTCTTCCTCGTTTGTTTCTGATTTGCCATGCTGGTATTGGAGCCCTGGAAGAGAAAGTGGTATGGAGGTTACTATCATCCGCGAAGCTGTGTACTGGACATGAAGTTGCTTTCAACAAATCGTTTATATGGAGTAGAAATAGTGTTGGTGCTAGAATTGATCCTTGCGGAACAACAGCATTTATGGTAAGAGAGTCAGATGAAACTCCGTCGACCACTACATGGAGAGACCTGTTTGAGAGAAAACTAGCTAGCAGAGAACATAGCTGGGGAGGCAAGCCATAAGATGGATGTATATGGAAAATCGTGATTTTAAAGAAAAAACAAGAAATACTATTTCATGTTGATGTCACCGTTTCCGAGTAAATAATTATTATGTTCGAAAAATTGCTGTTCAGATGTTCATTTTTTTTATGAAACTTTTCATAGGGATATGAAAATGGGCGAGTGGACTGATAATGAATTATTGGTATTCAATTACTCCACGGTGTGTTTAGAAACCTAAATAATTTTTGCACGCTTTTTTATGTAAATATTTAGTCTATGCGTTGTTCGAAATTATCGAATTTTAGACCTCATTTCAAACGAACGAAAAAGCGCTGGACGACTATGGTGCTCTTGTCACAATGCAAGATGTGTAACTTATTGAATCTAAACATTCAAAAACACTAACAGTTGTCATTTCTGTGTCCGACCTCTTATCTAACTAATACCATCCAGTGGCTCTATTTTAACCTAATTGGAATGTTTTTTCGTTTAACCACATATATAAACTATGGGATCAATGGGAATGTAATGAGTAAACATGGGTGTCCAAGTTCTTATATCATCAGAGATAGTGCAGGTTAAAAATGTAGATGGAATCGGGTTGACTTGAAGTCATCAAATAGCGATTGTTTATCAGATCAAAAAATTTAAGATTCATTGGGTTTATCAGCCCTTCTCTAGTGTGAGATCAATAATCTTCCTAAAACGGCTTTATCACATAATCAACAGCTTAGCATTACTTGATAACATTCAGGTATTATCAACGATAGGCAATATGGCTTTCGCCATCAGAGATCAACTGGTGACCAGCTTGCTTACGTCTCACATATATGGCAGCAATCTATTGAACAATATGATGAAACCTTAACCGTGGCACTCCGAGTCTGGCACCACGGACTCCTCGCCAAGCTTCCATCTTATGGCTTGCTCCCCAGCTATCTTCGTTGCTAGCTAGTTTTCTCTCAAACAGGTCTCTCCATGTTTTGGTCGACGGAGTTTCATCTGACTCTCTCACCATAAATGCTGGTGTTCCGCAAGGATCAATTCTAGCACCAACACTATTTCTACTCCATATCAACGATTTGTTGTAAGCAACTTCATGTCCAGTACACAGCTTCGCGGATGATAGTAAACTCCACACCACTTTCTCTTCCAGGGCTCCAATACTAGCATGGCAAATCAGAAACGAACGAGAGAGAAATGTTGACAACATGAATATGGACTCGGCAATAATTCTTGAATGGGGATCCAATAACTTGGTAGATTTCAATTCAAACAAAACACAAGCATGCCTTTTCTCTAGAATAGCCGATCTCACTGTGCCCAACTTAAGCTTGTCAGGAATAACCATACATTTGAAAACATCCATTTCGATGCTTGGTATCGCTATCAGCAATAACATTTCTTGGGAAAATCACGTGAGATAAATTGCTAAAACTGCATCCCAAAAACTTGGTTTTCTGTTTCGGGCCAGGAGCTATTTCACTTCCAGTCATTTGCTATAATCTAATCTATCAGGCACAGTTCCGACCTGTCCTGGAATACTGTTTCCATATTTGGAGTGCAACACCCAAACATACCCTGAAACCGTTGGATTCTGTCCAAAAAAGGGCAATTCGTCTCGTGGTTGATGCCTCGCTCACAAACTCATTTACTTCTCTGGAACACCGAAGAAAAGTTGGCGATCTGGCTCTATTTTATAGATATTTCCGTGGACGATGCTCTACTGAAATATCAACAATTGTATCTCCCTGGCAGTCCCCGCGAGATTAACCCGTCGAGTTGAGGCTTCGCACCCCTTCGTGGTCACTTTGGAGACCTGCAGAACATCTCTTTCCAAAGACTCGTTCATACAACGAACAGCGAGGCTCTGGAACACATTGCCAAGGGAGGTGTTCCCCGAGGCATATAACCTTCAGAAATTCAAGAAGAACACCAATTCCTACCTTATTTCCCTTGGTTCTCACGATGTTCTCTGAACATTACAGGATATCCCTTTTCGTGGGAACCAGAACAAAAAAAAAAAAAAAAATACATTATTCAATATCATAATACACCCATTGACTATACATTGTTAACTTTCCAGGAATACCCGAAGACGTGAGCCTGTCCATGCCGGTGACGCAAGACGAGCTGGCCTCGATCCTTTACAAAACCGCCGAATGCGACTGGCCCAGCGACGATCTCAACTCCATCACCCAGAACGTCGTTTCCGGTTTGACCAAAGTGATGGAACTGGCGATAGCCGAACCGTTTTTGGTTCCGGTCGACATCAACGTGTATCCCGAGTACGCCATGTTTATTGAGTATCCGATCGATTTATCGACAATCAAATCCAGGTGAGTACATAATGATGATAATAATAAATCGTCTTTATTTTCTTACAAAATAGGCGAAAGTTCAGCCTAGGGCTACTCTTACACTTAACCTAGATTGTAGAGAATTAGAAAATATAATCAACAACTGCATTCATCAAGACAAAAAAACATATCATAATCATAACAATGCTATGGTATTATTTTAAACAATAAAAAAATAAAAAAAACATCTCAACAGTGCAATGGCATTTTATCATATCATTGATTAAATACAACAATAAATCAAGGATCTTAATAAGAAAAAATCATATTATATAAACATATCATATCAAAGAATTTCTCATTTGGGATTAGTATGGACCTTCAAAAAATTTGGCTTTCAATATTTTCTTCACTTTATACTCCGATAAGTGAGTGTGATGGATAAGAATCGAGTTATAAAACTTAACGGCTTGATAGGTGAAGGATTTTCGAAACATGGCTGAACGATGACGAGGTATATTCAGGTGATGTTTATTTCTTAGTTCCAACGAATGGAGAGAAGACCTATGATTCAATTTACTATAGAGGGGCAAAGGTACTTCACACTTTAATAATTTGTATGAAAAGAGGCAGAAATTATATTCTCTACGATTGAACATTGAGAGCCACTTCAGTTCCATTATTTTGTTAGAAACATGGTCGTATTTTCTGAGTGAAAAAATGAAACGACAACAAAAGTTTTGAACCCTCTGAATACGATTCTGGTCTAATTTGGTAAGCAAATCACCGTAGACAATATCACCATAATTGAACCTAGAGAGGACTAATGATTCACTGAGAAGCTTACGTATTTGTTGATTGAGGTAATGTCTGTGTGAATAAATCAACAAAGAACCTACAGAACCATCACAAGTCGATAACAAGAAGATAACTGACAGTAGAGGGAATCTAGGTATTCAGGTTACTCCAAAAACTGACGCGATAAAAAAAACCCGCCAGGGATATACCTCGGGACAAACCTATTACCCGAAAAAATTCTAATAAGTGATTGTCTCGGAACCTCTACCACTTCTACCCATACATATACCTAATATAAATAATATGTGTACTGAAACAGAAATTGTATGTGGTTACCAAAATGTACGTGGCCTCAACACAAAATGGCAACAATTTTTTTCCTCAATCTCAACCAATGAGTTTGATATCATAGCACTCACGGAAACGTGGTTACACCCGGATTTTTCAAACTCTGAACTATTTCCAGATGCTAACGATATTCATAGAAGTGACAGAAAGTTTCATCTAACAGGTCAATCCAGCGGAGGGGGTGTTCTTTTGGCATTCAAAAGTAACCTGAAATGTGAGAAAGTAGACCTTACGGTGATCGAAACGCAGTTTCCCAATATTGATATAATATGTTGTAAATGTCATACTAACAATAGTGTAGTATTTGTTTCTGCTATTTATGTTCCTCCCAATTTAGATTATGATACATATGAACTATTCCTCGAATCATTTGTACAATTTAGTTTTATGTTAAAAAAAATCCTTATAATGGGTGACTTTAACTTGCCTAATTTCCATTCGAATGATATTGATAAAAGAGCTATGCTCATGCACAATTTTCAGGCTTTCTATAATTTACAACAAAAAAATTGTATCTTCAACAATGATAACCGTCTACTAGATTTAGTATTAACTAACATAAACTGTGATATTATATTTTCCATGATACTTCTGCAATGGTGAGGAAAGATATATATCATCCTGCACTGTTCATCAAGCTAGATTTAAAATCGAGAACTCATAACATGAATGTTAGTAATGATCACAAAATGTACAATTTCAGGAAGGCAGATTATATTGGGCTATATTCTGCACTACTTGGTGTGGATTGGTCATTCATAGATAGCGTCACAAATAATGTTGATGATGCATTAGACTCCTTCTATACTATACATTATGAAATTTTTGATCAGTACGTTCCTATTTATAAAAATACAAAACAGAAATTTCCAAAGTGGTTCACTAGAGAAATCATCGATCTGATTAAGGTTAAAAATAAACATTTCAAAAAGTACAAAAGAACAAAAATACAACAAGATCTAGACGAATTTAAGAGACTTAGAGCATTAGTCAAATCAAAAGTAAAAGAAGCACATAAAAAATATCTGAACGAAATGGAAAAATCAATAAATAGTGATCCAAAACAATTCTGGTCCTTTGTTCACTCAAAAAAACAAAAATCCAGAATTCCGAGAAAAATGGTTTACGACAATGTCACACTTGAAGATTCCACAGATATTATAAACTCTTTTGCGAATTTTTTCAAAAGCGTTTACTTAAAACCTGTTTCAAATAACCAGAATTGTAATAATGATATAAATGATGATCAATGCATGTCTTCCATTGAGACAATCAACATACGAAATATAACTGTCAACGAAGTAGAGAATGCCATGAAAAAACTCAAAAATAAAATGACATCTGGTCCAGATCTTATACCAGCATTCATTATCAAAGATTGTAGATTTGCTTTGGCTATTCCACTCATGAAACTGTTCAATATGTCTCTCAAAACTGCCAACTTCCCCTGTAAATGGAAAATTACCAAGGTATGTCCTATTTTTAAGGCTGGTGATAGAGCAAAAGTAGAAAACTATAGACCAGTGTCCTTACTATGCAACTTCGCAAAAATTTTCGAAATAGTGATACATAATCATATCCAAAAATGTACTGTCAATATAATATCCACATATCAACACGGTTTTATGCCAAAACGCTCAACTAATACAAATCTAGTTATCTTCACTCAATATGTGTCTGAAATAATGGATAAGCAGGGACAAGTAGATGTAGTATACACTGACTTTTCTAAAGCGTTCGACCGGATTGATCATGATATTCTGCTGAAAAAACTTCATTATTTTGGATTATCGATCAAAATGATATCTTTCTTTCGCTGGTATCTACATAAAAGGGAGCAGTATGTTACATATAACGGACATGCGTCTTTGCCTTACACAGCCAGCTCTGGAGTTCCTCAAGGATCAAATCTTGGACCCTTATTTTTTCTCTTGTTCATAAATGACTTGTGCGCCGCACTGACGTGTGAGAAACTAGTATTTGCAGATGATCTGAAAATATTCAAAAATGTGCAATCAGCTGATGATTGTTTGGAAACACAAAACAATTTGAATATTATCAGTGATTGGTGCAATTTAAATAGACTACAATTGAATGCGACAAAATGTAAAACTGTATCATATAATCGAAAACAGAATCCAGTTCTATATCATTATGTAATAAATGATATAGCAATAGTTCATGAGAATTCTACTAGGGACTTAGGAATCATATTTGATAGTAATTTAAGTTTTATCGAGCACATAGACAATAAAACTAATGAGGCTCTTAAAATTCTTGGATTCATAATCAGAAGCTGTAGATCATTTACGGATATGCAAGTAATGAAAACATTATACTATTCTTTTGTAAGATCGAAGCTTGAATACGGATCCATGATTTGGAATCCACACTACCAGGTTCATAGTGATAAAGTAGAGATAGTACAGAGAAAATTCTTGAAATTCCTAATATACAAAACTACTAATGTATATCCACCTAGGGGACAAAATTATAAGAATACACTGGAAATTTTTGAATTCAGCAGTCTTGAGCTTCGCAGAATAATGATGTCAATAACATTTTTATACAAAATAGTACACCATGAAATTGATTGTCCAGATATTGTTTCAAAAATAAACTTTTATGTTCCACGAATTGGGTCTCGTCAAACTCAAAAATTTCTATGTAGTCGTGCAAATACAAATTTAATGTTGAAGTCACCTGTAAACATTATGTGTTCGAATTTTAATAAAATATGTAGAGACTGTGATATCCACCATAGTAGTCTGGGGCAAGTTTTGACATGCGTCAGACAAGCTCACAGAAGGTTTGTAATGAATAATGATACCTGATCATATTTACGTATATTTTTTTTGTGATGTACTTAGCATATTAGTAGTTGTTAGTGCAAAGTTATTAAATTTTTTTTATCTAGTATATTCGTTATGTAAGTATATGCATATAGTTTGAATGTATTTAATCAATCTATCAATTTGTTAGTTGAATTAGGCTTTGTTTATTCTAGTTGATTTATACACTTGTTTTATGTTTAAGTTTCCGTCCTGTAATTGGCGCAAGCTGTTGGACGAAGTACCCTTAAATAAATAAATCAATAAATAAATAAACTTCAATGAACTGTAGGACTTTTTGAGCTGATCGTTAACATGTAAGGTGAATTTCAAGTCAGAGTCGAAGATAATACCCAGATTTTTCGTAAACTCCACGATAGGTAATAAGGTGCCATCGATTTCAATGGACAATTCAGGTGAAAGCCGCATTCCTTAAATTTTGTTACCAAATAATATGAGATGGCACTTACTTTTGTTCAGTTTCAATTTATGTTTGTTAGCTAAGTCACTTATCGTTTTGAGATCACTGTTTATATGCTCTTGAACAGTTTGAATGTTCATAAAATTGAGGTTTGAATAAATTTGGGTATCATCTGCATAAGCTTGGATTCGACAGTATTCAATTGAAGTTAGGATGTCACTTGTATATATGATGAAGAGTAGTGGTCCCAGAATGGACCCTTGAGGTACACCTGACGTTACATTATGAAAAGTTGACAAAATATTGTTGATAGATACTTTTTGGCTTCGATTAGAAAGATAAGAGTAGATGAAAAATATGGTGTCATCGGAAAATCCTAGATATTTTAATTTGTAACAGATTAAAGTGTGATTGATCGTGTCAAACGCCTTCGAGAAGTCAAGTGTAATTAATGCTGTTAAGTCTTTATTATCAGTATTTCTGATGATGTCATCTGTGACTTGTACTAGAGCTGATGTGGTATTGTAGCCAGCCCGAAATCCAGCTTGGCAATCAGGAATGATATTGTTATTGTTAATGTATAGAACAATTTGGCAGTGAACGGCTTTTTTTAGGATCTTCGATATTGCGGGCAAGATGCTGATTGGCCTAAGATCTGAGAATTCTTTGGGGTTATTGGATTTACCTAGGGGTTTGACTATAGCAACTTTCCACAAGTCTGGAAAATAGATTTTTTCTGTACAACAATTGAATATATGTGCAAGATAAATATCAATATCATAGTAATAGTTATTTATACACCAAGGTAGTAAAGGATATCAGTACGACCCAGGGACCAACATTATATCCCGAGGCTTCAGCCGAGGAGTATAAGGTCCCGTGGTTATATTATTCTTTACTACCAAGGTGTATATCAATTTTTTCACCACCAGCAGGATATTTCAATCACTTTAGTTCTGTGGAACTGAAATATGAACCTATTGTCACTATGAAAGCTCTTTTTTTCAATTCTGATTGAAAACTAGTAGCCATATGATCATGACAGCATGTTACAAGTCATTATTGATCATTTGAGTGCTATTATTGCGAATCTCTCATAAGAACAGTGGATTCGGCTTAATTATATCAAAGGTGGCTATGTCTGTATTGCCTAGTGGTTCATAAAATGACGAAAGCTACTTTGGTAGTAAAAAGACACTTTACGCCTTGAAAAGGTGTGAATAATGGTAGGTTCTAGATCTAGTGGCGGAAACACAATATCGGGTGACACAGGAGACATGTAGCAGCCTGTAGTTTTTTTTATTTGGAGAGATAACATTTTGAAATTCACAGGTGGTATATAATAAATGATAGCACACTTTACGAACCTAACGACAATTTTTTTCAACCACCTGTTTGACCGGAAGTGACCCTAACTTTTTTTTTAAATGTCCCCTGTATATTTCTTCAGTCTATCTTATTCGCCTTGAAATTCTCTATCCAACCATGTATCACAAAGTGGCATTTATTTCTTAATTCGCTGTTGAATTGCTTTTTATTAAAAAAGAATAAGTTGGCTGTGACATGAATTCGATGATATATCGACACTTGGTAGGCTTTGAAATTTAAATATCATTAGTAAACCGATATTATTCAAAATGTTTTGATATTCTGATCAATGTCTGCAGGTTGTCAATAGCTTGTTTGAGTCGGGATGAAAAACTTCGGAAATAACTCATGATATTGAGGAATCTAAGATAGGAACATATTTATTCGAATTCAGCTACTAGTACTTAGTGAAAAGAAGGAAGAATATCATTCAAAATAATGGCGTGTGTAATGTCATTCGAAAGCAATCTATTGACATTTGACATCTCGTGTTTTGATTGACTATTGATTAAATGGTCGTCATCTGGAATGCTTGCATGTTCACTAAATATGAAAAACTCGCCATAAAAATCATATTTCCTGTTGAATTTTCTATATAAAAATGTGCCATCGAAGTACATCATGAGTATATAATGTGTCCAATGACCAAATAAGAGCAAGTAGCTTCAAATGCCACAAGGGGAAAAAGAAAGCGAAATTTCGAACTTTTTCTTGAAATATCTCAATAAAATAGTGGTTTGTTCACATTTTCATTATAAAATTCGGTTTATCAGACAAAAATACGTGAGTACCGAAAAAAATTTTCAAAAAAAACCATCGCATGATGAATGCAGTTTTGAATATTACGGTTCCAAGTGTAACGATCCACTTGGGTGAAAAATCCAACAACAGAAAATTGAAAACACTCACTGGTTATTTTTTCAGGTAATAGGAATTCTCCAAGATAAATATAGGTTATTGTAACAAACGGCATGTCAATCAAAATAAAATACATTTTCCACAATTTTCTTTCGATCAATCTCACGATAAGTTTATGTTCTGCGGGCCCTGTATAAGTAGGTGTGAAGTTTACCTTCACCACAATTTTTGCCAATATATTTAATTCGAATGGGTTGCTGTAGGTGGATATTTGTGTTTTATCCTGGTTTTTGCTTTAAAACTTCGTTTTTCCATAATAACATCGAATGGGGTGCGAAGAAGGGCTCAGTTGACGACTGGCATCCTTTTTTAACCGGAAGCCCTTCAAAAAACAGCAAAATCGGCTCAATGATGATCTAAAACTGAAATCGAAATACGCGGTCGCCTTATAGCGCTATAAGCGCTTGTCGTTTCGAGCCGCTGGTTAGGCCTCACTAAGTGACGTCACCCACGGAGCATGCAGGCCTTGTTGTATCGGTGGTAACGGATGACCCCGAACTTCTCCAAAGTTGTTGTCGATTTCTTGTAAGATTAATCATTATTTCAGGTTCGAGAACCGTTTTTACCGAAGACTGATTGCCGCCCAATTCGATATCCGATATCTGGCTCTGAATGCAGAGAAATTCAACGAGAAACATAGTGCCATTGTCAAGCAATCAAGAATCATCACTGATTTGTGTCTAAGATTAGTGAAGTAAGTATTTTACTATTTTTTGTGTTTGAAGTTTTTCTTTTTTTTTGTACAGGGTGAACAACTTAGAACGGCTGTCGGCCAAATCTCAGCAACGAATAATGGATACAACTCTGTAAAAAATATCTCGAGAAAAGTGACTCAAAAAAATAGCTGGAAAATATTCGTAGGTTTCTAACATAACCGCTAGGTGACGTAACGGCTATGAGTAAAGAGAAAATTGATTTTCTTTCTCCGTATTTAGTAGTAACAAGGTGTACTGAAAATATATGCAGTTTGATCCTTGATAAATTCCTAGTTTTCTTTTTTTGTCTAACACTTTTTGTCCCATTCCGAAAAATAAAGTGGTGGGGGGACGTCGAATTATACAACATAATTCGACGTTTTCCCACCACTTCATTTTTTGGGATGGGACGATAAGTTTCAGACAAAAAAAACTATATCCGTTACGCCACCTAGCGGTTATCTTAGAAATATTCAAATATTTTCCAGCTATTTTTCAGTGTAACTTTTTTCGTTTTTTTTTCAAAGTTGTATCATTTGTTGCTGAGATTTGGCCGACAGCCGCTATTAGATGTCCACCCTGTACTTCCTTGTCCATTTTTGGTCGGTGTCATATCGAGTGTTGAAGAAACAATGCATTTCTAAATCAATAGTCGGTGGAATTTTTATATGAAAATATATATGGAGAGTAGCGATAGATTATCAATTCACTTTTGTTTTTTTAGTTTTCCTTATTTACCACCTACCAGATATACTCTCTATCTCGCTCTCTATAGGCTAGTCGAGGTCGAATTTGCTCTACCGGGCTTGGTAAATAAAAATATTAGTATTATTTCAATATACTTGTAGGACCCACAGACTCGTGTCGTGTCCATTCGGGATAGGTCGGCATTCTGACAACCTGAATTTGCAATATTTCTGATATATTTGGAAACCGTATCTAATTAATATTCGAAAAACATATTTCAGAAATATTCTTTGAGGATATTAGATTTCATACATTTATTTTCTGCCAATCAGAAGTCTACTTTTTGTTTACGTAGCTTATAGCAACGGGTGACTATCGCGATAATTTTGTTCGGTCCTATTAACTTAATGGAATTAATAAGTGATAATAATTCCGTCAGAAATGCAGCACCTTATATCTATTAGTAAAAATTATTCAGTTTCATTTGAAACTATGTAGACATGTTATATCGAAGATTGGAATCTTTGGCATGATAATACACTACACACTGTTTTACCACTAACCAAACCGATATTTTACACCTCGACACGTGTTTCGCTAACTATGTTAGCATCTTCAGGAGAAGTTTAAAACTAAATCTTCTATCCCAGTGGGCTACTTATATACTAAGTATATGTCCACCCAACCGTGAATAGACAATAACCACCAAGTTAATGATTTATAGGTCCATTATCCTTATTCATTACTCTATTGCTATTCTTAAATATCTCTAAGCTCTCATAGGCATCTAATTTTCTAACATTATTAACTTGCTCAACAAATTTGAGATTATTCATATGTGTGTAATGATTGTGATTCAACATGTTTTTAGCTACACAGTTTCAATCTTCTCCTGAAGATGCTAACATAGTTAGCGAAACACGTGTCGAGGTTAAAAAAATCGGTTTGGTTAGTATTAAAACAGTGTGTAGTGTATTATCGTGCCAAAGGTTCCAGTCTTCGATATATAATATTTCTGAAATTTCAGTGATAGATCTTAGTTACTAACAAGTTGAACCAACTTCTATTATAACAATTTTGTGCGTTATATTCAACTAAACTCATCTGAATTATCTTTTATGAGTTTCATTTGAAACATTAGTTGCGTTTGTTTCATGTCAAACCGGTTGGAGAATATTCGGGTCACCAAACAAACGTAAACTGTCAAACCGGAAAGGAATGTTGTGTGCAATCAAACGACAGGAATGACGAAACCGGTAGCGGTTTGATATGAAACAAAGGCAACTTATGTCTGCATGCAATATTAGATGTTATGGTTGAAAACGAATCAATGCTTTAATTTTTCTAATGAACCTCAGTTAAAAAGTAAAATCAACTTCTATTGAAGAAATATAGTGCAACATTTTCAACTTAAGGTTCATGTAAACCCACGTGAAAAAAAACGGCAAGTTCAAAAATTTTGAAAAAAATCTGGTATATCAAGGTTTTTAATTGAAAACTTCTGTGAGATTTTGATGAAAATCTATCGAACGAATTTTGAGAAAAAAAATTAAAACTCCTTTTTTTATAGGTTTTTTTTAGTTTTCACAAAAACTGTTCGATGAATTTTTGTCAAGATCTCACAGCAGTTTTTAACAAAGAATTAAAATATGCCTGATTTTTTTGAAAATTTTTGAACTTACAGTTTTTCTACAATAGTGAATTAATCATTGAAAGTTGCTGTAAAATCTATATTATTCGAAAAATATGATATATTTTGATTATTCATGTAAGATGTAACGAATACGGATTACTTGAATCCTATTTCAGTCATAAACAATGATTTATTCGATATCAAAATAGGGTTTTCAAAACCCCTTACCAAATTCCTCTCAAATAGATTAATCGCTCCAGCAGGTGCTGCCTCTGCTGGTCATAGTCATAATCTAAAGTAGTTTCGCTACTGTCCACGAGTATCGCATAAAATGTCTGACCATCATAATATTTGTCGTACAGCGTTGCCAATACGCCTAGACAAAGACAACCGATAAATGCTGATTGTTTCTAGCAAATCCTTCAGAAAATCGTCTATGGACACATTTTCCCTTTTCGACTTGTGAATATTGAATACATTCGCGGGCCTAATGAAGGGGGGGATGGGTCGTGTTGAATTATTTCATATTCATATAAAGATTAAGTCAATTCAGTTGATTATTGTGATGAACAATGAATGCTTCGCAGATGAAATTTTTTATTAATAAAGAAAATGCCTTTCGAATTCGAAGTTTGGTTTTTCGGACATGCATCATGCACTTCATGTACCGGGAAGTGAAAATTTCATCCGAAATAATAACTTTTTTGTTGACGATAGAAATATATATATCTTCATCTTCATTGTGTCATCAACTTGCTCATGGAATTGCCCCAAATGTTAGGGGCCTCTTCAGATTTTTATCATCCACCATAATGCCCATCTATCGAGGTTTTCATGGTTATTCCTCTAGAAAACAACTAACCATTTAACTTTCATGTTTTTCAATTCTCTACGGTTATTATAAAAAAATTTCCATCTTCATGTAAGCTATCTCTATGGTAAGGATTCCTCTTGTTACTTAATTAATTTTTCTCATTGTATATAGGACTATGTAATTTCTTATTAGGCTGATTATTCACAATGAGCATTTGGTTGAGCATTTTTCTCAAATATATGTAATTTCTGGTTTTAAGCCTAGCAGCACCTCGATTTCCTAGAAGTGGTTTGAATTCCACGTAGGTCTCGCTCACCATAACCCCGCACAAGTTTCGACTTCTGGGGTGTTGATTCCCATCGAAGTAGCGATATACAATTTTTATAAAATTATATAAAACATTAAAAATTAACAATAAAACGAATATGTATTGAGAAGGTACAATATTTTCTGATCGATTTTCCTCGAAAATGATACATCTCTGATTGATTCGGAACAAGAGCAAATCTTGGAATGGTTTATTTTCACTGCATTGGGCATGGAAAGCTCGATGGAAAGTTTAGTTCTTGTACCGAATTGCATTATTATATCACATGGCGTTTCGGAAATATTCAAGAAATATCATATTTAGGACCCCCCTTCCAGGGGGCTGTAGCTCCCTCATATAAGAGACATTTATGTTCATCTGAACTTTTCTTCCTATTTTTGGTCGTAGAAGCCGGTGATAAAGTTCGACAGGCTAATTTCGAGATGTGGGTATATGTGTTTTTTCTATAGTGAGTTTTTAGTGCTTTGATTCTCTTCATGTCATCCTGAATCAATTCAAGAAATTATATTTAACAGTCTCTAGAAGAAACAACATTATATGTATTATGTATATGATTTAAAAATGATTATCTGATTATCTAATTTTTGTTTTTTTAGTTGCTCTTTCATAATTTTCCCTGCTATAAACATGTATGTTTCTTGGGAATAATAATAAAGATATTAAGTTAATATGAATGATATATCATAATGAACATCGGATTTGAAAAGGTTTGAATATTTCCAATATGTTCAATAGTCCCAAGACACTCTCGGGAATTTCCTATATTTCCATTTCCATGGCAATATTTCCAATGGAAATATTTCCACTTAAATCACCAATGATATATAATAGTGATGATATAAATATTTCCGAAATAAGGCGATTCTCATCAAGAACAGGATCTTTATTAAACCAGACCCCTCCTCTATTCTATAGGTATGTAACTCAACTATTATAGTCTTGCGATTTTCACCAAATTCTGATCGGTATCAATAATCATCAATATGATCAGTTTTTCAGAGATGAACTTTTGGTCATTTGAACCTTTCAATGGAAATGAAAAGAGGTTGATATTTTATGAAATCATATTAGGATTTTTTGCAGGTAAACTAACTTCATAGTATTGCTCCTCATGTTTTCTGCCTCGAAAAATACTGAGTTTGAATCAACTGCAAATTCTGAAACGTTCAATGATGATTTGAGACAAAAAACCAGGATATACTTTCATTTTTGTACTCTCTGTTTCCGAGTAAATAATTATTCACGCGCGTTCAAAAACCAAAAACAGTCTGTATATGTTTAGATCTGCCTGTTCCTTTGAAACCTTTTATAGAAATTATATGAAAATATTCATATGAAGGTTTGAAACCATTTTCATTTTAATAAAAATACACGGCACTGTCCAAAATGATGATTGTCTTAGAAAAATTGATCATATTGTTGGTTATTCAGTATAGTTATTCATACCGGTCCAAATTTGGTAAAAATCGTAAGACTAATAGCTGATATATAAAGGAGAAACCGTTTGAAGTGGGACATGCTGTATAGAATCATCTTG